AGGAAACCTTCCACCCTTCACTATCAATGGAGGAGCTACTGAAGCAGAAGAGGCACTGAAGTTACCTTGTATTCTTATTCAGGTCTGCTCTCACCCAACAGTTCTGTCTCCTCAACTCCTACTTGTCCTTTTACAATTTCCACATGCTCCTGTTTTGCCCTATACCACCAGCACTGCTTCAAATGCCATCATAGAAATGCTGATGTTCCATGCCCCCATTCTAATACCTGCCTTTATCCTGACTGATTCCTTGAACCCCTTCTGCAAAGAGCTCAAGATCGAATTGGTGGTGACTTCTGGCCGTATTAAGCTTTAGCAATATGGGTGCTGGCACTGGTCCTGGATCCCACAGCTGCCAATGGGGTGGGGGAGTCAGTTTCTTTTTGTGCTACGTCCAGACTCTCCTCTTGTCTTCAAAGAGGCTTTTCAACATATACACCTGGAGGAAGGACACCACCACCAGCACACTGAGATTGACAGCTGACCAGAAGTTGACCCGGCTCAGGTTGTTCTCCTGCAAATTGCGGTCTCGTGCTTCAAAGGCACGTAGCAGTGCCTGCATTTGAATACTTCGCTCAAGATGGCTCTTCATGGTTTCAATAGATTCCTACAGTGACAAGATAAAAAGGCAATACAGAGATTATTGGATTCAATGTAGGACTCATGCTAATGATGGTCAAACCCAGAGGAATCAAGGGACTATAGGAAAGAGATACCAGTTTTCTTTCCTAGTTATAAACAGAATAGGGGCTTGATGGTAACTATTGCTGGCCAAAAAGGAAGAAAAATCAGTTCCATTTTCACTGGGAAATCAGCTCAGAAGAGAAAGGAACACTATCTTGGCTTATTAACACTACTTTATCTCATACCATAAGATGGCAAGTCTTTGTATCCAGGAGATACTCATTTGTCAAAGTCTCCTCTGTAGGCATTATTTGCTTCTCTCCATCTTCACTGTACTGGGGTTAATTTGAACCACAACCTCCTGGCACCACCTCTTTTCACTGTCCAAATTTCTTGCCTCTCTCAACTCCTCCTTCATGAAAATCCTTTAGTGTCTGAAACCATCTACATTATTGTTCCCCCAATTAACAAACTTCAAAAGCTGTTTTCAAAACTAAAACATCTTGCTTGTCCAAAGGATCTTGGCTATCAGCCCATCCTGGACTTTGATAGTCAAAACCCTCTGCAAAAATATGGAGGGGGGGGAAGGGAGGGGAGAGGCTCTGAGAAGCAAAAGGAACCCTTTTATGTAGCCAGGATTTTTCTTACCAGGTAGGCACTGTATTTTCTTTATTGATGTTTTTAACATTTTTAACTTCGTTGGGCTTTGCATTTGAACGCTTCATGTTTTAACTTTGTTTTTTAAAAAATCAGTCTTACTGTGAGCCTCCTTGAGTCCCATTTTTGGGATAAAGGCATGATATAACTGAAGTAAATAAATCGGCAGAAAGCAGCAATCAACTCTTACCCTCTTCAAGGCACTTGTTACATTGCTTAGAGTGCAGCACAAACCTTGGGTCTTACTAGGGAGTTCCTATCTTTTGAAAGACCAGTAGTATATTAAATGAGGACCAAGCAGCTACTTGGCCATCAAACTAAATAAATTAATAAAATTAATAGCAGATTTTGTCTTATAGCCTTGTCCTGGAGAAATTCTTCAGTGTGGTGGTGACAGCTCTATGAAGACATGGAAGCAGAACCCATGGTGGGGCATGGAGGCTCTGAGCTGAAGTGGGAAAGGCAAAAGAAGGGTGGGGCCAATTCTGACTTTAGCTTGGCTATCTCAGCCAAGCAAAATGTGTAGAATTAAAGCAAAACTCTGCTGCTCTGAACTTAGTGTGTGTGTGGTTTTGTTCTTGTGTTGGTACTGCAGCCTTCCCCATTCTTCTTTTCTCAGCTCATCATGGAGCCACAGAGAAGAGCAACAGCCAGACCCTGAACTTGTGCTGTGTTTCAGAGGAACAGCCTGAAGTCAGGGACCAGTCCCAACCCTGAAAATTTTTGGCTTTTTTGTCTCATGATGCTACCCAGTGCAAAGCTTCTGCTGGGGTCTAAAATATCTGGTTCTTTCACTTTCCATTGATCATCTTCCCCTTGCCTCTCTGCACACCTTAATGTCTTCTATCTTAATGTCAAGCATTTCTTCTGGTTCAGCCACTTCCGCCCACTGATTCAAATCTTCATCATCCTGGGGACTATCGAAGATTAGTTCAAAGAACACCAACTTCTCTGAGATGGTACTGAAGGAGTTGTCAAAGCACAACTTGTAATCTCCACCCTCTATTGGTTCAACTCTGCAGACAAAGAAAAGAAAGCAGCAGAGCCTGAGCGAAGACTTCATAACAAGAACATGTTTCCATTTCAGCTGGGCAAGCCAAAGTTCATATATACTAAAACAGTACATGTGCACAAGACATACAAGTCTCATTCCAATTTCTTTTGCTTCACAGAGTATGGGCAAATAATTTGTCTATTCTCCTTAACTCCCCTAAAGATCACACTTACTTTAGGTCCTGATTCTAGCTCATTTAATGGCAATTCTTTTTACATTTAGACACATTTTTGTTCATCCCAATTAATGTGGCTCATTTCCAGGACTTTTAATGCATTACTTAGCTCTATGTGTATCAACAAATGTTAATGGATGGGAGACTGCCAATGAATACCAGGTGCTGCAGGCTCTATTTCAGAGGAAGGAACTGGCAAAATCACCCCTGAGTATTCCATGACTTAAGAAATTCACAGGGTTGCCATAGGTCAACAGGCCACTTAAAGGTACACACACACAAACAGTGAAATGTAAGAGTCCTACCTGATTAGGCCAAAACCTCATCCAGCCCAGTATTCTTTCCCACTGTGGCCTATCAGACATGAAAGGAGAACACAGGGACAAATGCACCTTCCTACACATGTTCCTCAGCATCCAGTATTGAGAAGCTTCTGCTGCTATATGCCTTCAAGTTGACTTCATCTTATAGCAACTCCCTCATAGTTGCTAGATTTCAGGGCAAGATTTAGACAGGAAGTGATTTGCAATTTCCTTCCTCTGAGGCTGAGAGAGTATGAACTGCCCAAGGTCACCCAGTGTCTCCATGGCCGAGTAACAATTCAAATCCTATTCTTGCAGAGTCCTACACCAGCACTTAAACCTCATATGCTGAGAGGCATACTGCTTCTGAAACTGGAGGTTAATTTAGAACCATCATGACTGGTGGTCATTGATAAACGGAGTTCTCATTCATGAACTTATCTAATCTTTTCTCCAAGACATCCAAATTGGTGGCTATCACCACATCCTGTGGTAGGAAATCCCATAGTTAAGCTAGCCACTGTCTGAAGAACTAAAGGGGACTCTCCTCATTCACTGGATTAGTGGGGCTGGACCCTCATGAAAGTGGAAAAACTGCAAATAAAAAACCCACTTTTTTTAAAAAAAAATCTGCGATAACACCTCTCTAGGTCCTCTAAGGCAACTCTATAGTCAACATAATCATGCTGGAGGACCTACAAATGCCTAAAGAAGTGTTCTATCTAGGAATCTCTATTATTCTCTAGTGTGACTTCTGTAGATGTTGACTATAGTATCATATTGGAGGACCTAGTAATTCCTAGAAAGAGCATATTAATCAAATCTGTGAATAATCAAATCCACAAAACTAAAAGTTGCAAAGGTGGATGGCTGACTATGCCCATTTATCTGTCTTGAACATCTCCTTCATTATGTTATTGCAATAAGATTTAAAAGACAATCAATAGCTAATTGCCCCAAGCCAGAGAGAGAACCGGATTCTTTCTGGATGTGTTGTAAGTACAACCATTTACATGAAATTACCTGCCCCTGCCTGCAGGCCTGGGTGATAAACCACGCCACTTACGTGTGCACCCCATCTGATGTCCGATACTCATCAATCAGCAATGAGCCTGAAGGGCTTTCCAAGGAGAAATCCACGTCCAGCCCGGCCCCACCAATAACCTGAAGGAGACAAAAAGTGATTTATGAGGGAGGAAAGCCAGCAAAGAGTGCAAATCTGAGCTTGCATTAGGAAACACTCTGGGGAAAGAGTTCCTCTTTTCTGAACTAGTCTGCTTTACAGGACTGTTGTGCTATGGAGCAGGTCCTCTGTGAAAACAAACGTAACAAGCAAAAGTGGAAAACACACAACAGGAGGGGTTCACAGAAAACACAGAAAGAATAGCTAGGGAGCAACTGACAAAATAATGAACTGTATTAGAACAATGTCCCAAAAGAAGGAAACCACAACTTCACTATATTTGCAATGACTATATATTTATGTGTAAGTAACTACGTTGCAGTAATATTACAAAACACAGGATACACAATACAAAATGCTATAGAGAACTACATATCCCAAACTGTGTCCACTGTGCTTCCTCTGGTCTTAACAACTTCTGTTTCAGTATAATGATTTCCAAAAATGGCAGAGATAGCAAACAATGGTAGAATGTGCTTTCTCAAATCCTCTGGAACCTCTGTTCCAGAAATATGATTTCCACAAGGTCTTAAAAAACATTCAACACATTGGTGGTTGTGGCAATACCGGTTGTGGAAACTGTAAGTAGTAAACAGACTTTGGGACACTGCTGTAATATAGTTCATTATTTTGTCAGTTTCTCCCTATCTATTCTTTCTGTAACAAGCAAAAGCTACATCTGTGAAGGAGTAATGGTGACTAGTTTGGGCAAAATCAAATTCATGGGCTACCCAAACTTTCCAGAAGAGAACTACGTACATGTAGAGAAATGTATTTGTCCTGCTATAAGAAGGGTTCCCTCTGATAATCATTTTATTTATATCTCCCCTTTCTCCCAGAAGTGAGTCAAGGAATTGTTGTTGTAGTATACCTTCAAGTTGCTTCAGACTTAGGTGACCCAATGGGGTTTTCTTGGCAAAATAACTTGTTCAGATGGGGTTTGCCATTGCCTCCTCCAAGGCTAAGAAACCGTGACTTACCCAAGGTCACCCAATGGGTTTCCATGGCCAAAGTGGAATTTGAACCTTGGTCTTCAGAGTTGTAGTCTAGCACTCAAACCACTGCACCACACTGGCTGTCACTCAAGGAATTACAGTCAGCCCTCCGTATCCACAAATTCTGCATCCATGGATTTAACCATCTACGCTTGAAAATATTTTAAAAATACATAAATTCCAAAAAGCAACCCATGATTTTGCCATTTTATATAAGGGACACCATCTTCCTGTGCCACTGTATTTAACGGGACTTGTTTATCCACAGAATTTGGTATCCACTGGGGTTCCTGGAACCAAACCCCAACAGATACCAAGGGACCAATGTACTTACAGAATAAAGTGTGGTGTAGTAGTTTGAGTTTTGGACTACGACTCTGGAGATCAGGGTTCGAATCCCAGCTCAGCCATGTAAACCCACTGGGTGATGTTGGGTCAAGTCACACTTATTCAGCTCCAGGGAAAGGCAATGGCAAACCCCTTCTGAAGAAATGTGTCTAGAAAACCCAGCGATAGGGTAATGATAAGTCGGAAAACAACTTGAAAGCACACAACAACAGCAACTACAGAGCCAGCACACTGTAGTGCTTTGAGTGTTGGATTCAATGACTCTGGAAACATGAGTTCAAATCCCAGCTCAGTCATGTAAGCCCACTGGGTGACCTTGGGTAAGTCACTCTCTCTCAGCCTCAGAGGATGGCAAGGGAAAAACTCCCTCTGAAGAAATCTTGCCAAGAAAATTCCAAGTTGGAAATGAAGGCACACAACAACATTAAACCACAAATAGTGTGTGTGTGTGGGGACACCCATATCAAAAGTTAAGCTCAAAACAGTAGGTACGTAGTTAAAACCTTAGTTGAAAAACCCATCCTAAAATCTGCAGAGTCCCAAAACAGAAAAATCTTAGAAATAAAACAGAAGTGTGTGTAAGAAGAGGCGGTGACTATGTCTTCACTGCAAAAGAGGACAAGGCACCACAAAATGGTCAGACCTTCATGAAAAATGTAGGACATGCCCAAATAAAAGTTTGAAACACCCCTAGAAAGATAAATTCAGGCTTTAGTCCTGCTCAAAAGGGAGGGAATTTTGGATTTCCAATCCAGGGCAGAAGGTTGGATGACTGACAGACATGTCCTGGAAAAGAAGGACCTCTGAGAACCCTGAACCAAATGTCCTCACCTCAAAAGAGGAGCAGATACTGTGAAATGTAGGACATCCAAGGAAAATGGAGGCCATGACCAAATAAAAGCTCAAAACACAAATATAAATTTATGCTTCTTAGTCCTATTCAAAAGGGAAGACATTTTGGAATTCCTCCTGGGCAGAAGGCTAAAATGGAGGATGTGCCCTGGAAAAGGAGGATGACTGGTCACCCTGGCCCAGGCATGGAGGACAAGATGTAACAAATATAGGACCTTCAAGACAAAAGCAGGATATAACAAAATAAAAAGCTCAAAACACTTATATAAATCAATTCATGCTTCTTCGTCCTGCTCAGAATGGAAGACATTTTTGAATTCCAGCTGGGCAGGAGGCAGAAACGGAGGACGTGTCCTGGACAAGGAGGACGCCTGGCCAGCCTGGCCCATATGTCCTCCTAATCGCCATGGAGGACAAGGCGCCATAAAATGTGGGACATCCAAGCAATTCCTCCTGGAGAGAAGGCTGGGATAGAGGACAAGTCCTGGAAAAGGAAAGGCCTGGTCACCTTGGACCACATGTCCTCCTAACCGCCATGGAGGACAAGGCATTGTCATATGTAGGACCTTCCCAAACAAAAGCCAAAACATATTCGTGGAAATATAAATCCATGCTTCTTAATCCTGCTGCTCCAAAGGGAGGACACTTTGGAATCCCTCCTGGACAGAAGGCAGAAATGGAGGACGCCCCCTGGACAAGGAGAAGGCCTGGTCAGCCTTACCAAGCGTCCTCCAAACCGCAATGGAGGACAAGACACTGTCAAATGTAGGACCTTCCCAAACAAAAGCCTAACACACACCTAGAAATGTAAATTAATGCTTCTTAGTCCTGCTGCTCCAAAAGGAGGACATTTGGGAATCCCTCCTGGACACCTAGGCAGAAATGGAGGACGCCCCCTGGACAAGGAGGAGGCCTGGTCAGCCTCACCAGGCGTCCTCCAAAACGCCATGGAGAACAAGACCCTGTCAAATGTAGAGGCCTTCCCAAACAAAAGCCTAACACACACTCCTAGAAATATTAATTCATGCTTCACAGTCATGCTGCTCCAAAGGGAGGATATTCTGGAACTCCTCCTGGGCAGAAGGCTGGACTGGAGGACGTGTCCGGGGGAAAGAGGACGCCTGGGCGGTGAGGATGGCGGGGTGGGGCCTCCGCACCTGGTACTCGACCTCCATGGAGCTGTTGGCCGGGGCGAATTGGTAGAAGCACTCCCGGCGCCCGGCCGGCAAGAGGAAGGTGAACTCGGCGTCCTGAGGGAGAAGGCCCGCCTGAGGGAGGAGGGAGCCCCGCGACACCGACGCCGCCTCACACAGAAGCAGCAGCAGCAGCACCGGAAGCCCGCCGGCCGCCATTTTGTCGGCCCTGCCTTCTTCCGGAAGTGGGACGCCCACTGAGGGGAGGGAAATGGCGGACCGCCTCCTTCAGGCGCTCTCCTCCTGAGGGGAAGAGGGAGCAAATTTCCTCCTCCTCTTCGCCTCCAAGGAGGGCGAAGCATGGTTACGTGTAGGATATCCAAGGGAAATGGAAGAGTTTAGCACAGGGGTAGGCAACCTTTCCCCTTTAAGGGCCGAGGGACTTCAGCTCCCAGAATCCCAGGAGCTATTGGCCAACATGGGGCTATTGGCCAACATGGCTGAGGCTTCTGGGAGCTGAAGTCCCTCAGCCCTTAAAGGGGAAAGGTTGCCTACCCCTGGTTTAGTACATAAAACCACAAAACCCTCATATTACTTACTATAAATGCATGGTTCTTAGTCGTGATCAAAATGGAGGACGTTTTGGAATTCCTCCTGGGAAGAAGGTTGGAATGGAGGACGTGTCGAGGGTGACCAGATGTCCTCCTAACCACAGAGGAGGATAAGGCACCACCAGATGTAGGCAATTCAAGAAAAATGGAAGACATTCCCAAACCAAAAGTAAAAAAAACCCCTCATATTACTATAAATGCGTGGTTCTTAGTTGTGCTCAAAATGGAGGACGTTTTGGAATTCTTGGGCAGAAGGTTGAAATGTAAAGAAAGGAGTACGTCTGGGAGTCCTGGGCCAGATGGAGGACAAGGCATGGTAAAATGTAGGAAGTGCCTTGAAAAAGGAGGACATCTGGGAGTCCTGGGGCAGATGGAGGACAAGGCATAGTAAATGTAGGGCATCCAAGGAAAATGGAGGATATGAAATAATAGCTAAAAACACCCATTCATATAAATCCATTTCAGCACAACTGTATTATATGATGTAGTCAACTGCATTTTCCTAATGAACTTCCATGTAGTTATAGATAGGACGGATTTGATTAAAATCAGTTTGATTTAAAATCAGGATTTAAATCACTGATTAAGGTTATGATTATTTTTCTCCTTCCAAAGGACTGATTAACCTGTTAAACTGAAGATAGTTCACAATAATTTCATAATTATCTGACTGTGATGTGATTCTAATAGTATAACCAAATCTGGGTTTTATTAAGCTATAAAACTAGTCTGAAAAGTTGTTATTCTAAAAATGAAACCTTCATTTAGTTGTAAATATTAAGGTTATACCAGCAAGAATGAGTTTTCGGTAACATTTCTGTTAAATATATATTAAGCTTATAGTGAGGAAGAGTGTCTTTTTTTGGGGGGGGGTTCACATGATTAAATTGAGTCTTTCTGAATAGTTATTTAAATCACTGATTTAGATCACATTGATCATGATTTAAATCACTACTCAAAAAGACTTGATTTAATCTCCCCCCCCCCAACACTTTTCCTCACAGGTTTCATTTTTACAATAACAACTTTTCAGACTGTGAAGTCGTAGGCTTTCATGGCCAGCATCCATATTTTTTTGTGGGTTTTTCAGGCTATGTGGCCATGTTCTAGAAGAGTTTCTTTCTGACATTTTGCCAGCATCTGTGTCTGGCATCTTCATTTCTCTGAAGATGCCAGCCACAGATGCTGGCAAAACATCAGAAATAAACTTCTAGAACATGGCCACACAGCCTGAAAAACCCACAAAAAACTTTTCATACTAGTTTTATAGTTATATCTAAAAAAACCCTGAATTGGTTATACTGTTCAAATCACATCAGAGGTAGATAATTATGAAATTATTGTGATGTGAACTATCTCCGTTTAACAGGTTAATTATTGCTTGCATAGTGATTACCTTAATAATAACAATTTAAATAGCTTAATTTAACTAAAACAACAATCCAAAGGCATGTGGAATATTCTGCTCAAAAGACTTCGCTTTCATTTTCACTGCTTGCTCCTCCTTCCTCACACTCAGCTTCTTTTCCACTTCCAGGGGTCATTCAGATATTTTTTTCTCACCTGAAGGATGCAAATAACCTCACTCATACATCCTGGGTTTGTTATTCACACTATGGAACCACATCTCTGCCAGTTTGGTTGCTCACATGTGCAGGCACCCTTCCCTTGTCCCTGCACCCTCAGCTTCCTGCCACCACTTCAGGGGATCAGCATCTCTTTTTCTCTCCCTTCTTTTCCTCTCTTCTCCCCATCAGTGGCTGTTCCACTGCGTAAGGGGCGGCACTTTCTTGACTGCAGGTTTGTTGCAATGAAAATGTCATAGACTCATAGGATCCTAGAGTTGGAAGAGACCCCAAGGGGCATTCCAGTCCAACCCTTTTCTGCCATCAGGAATTCACAATCAAAGCACCCCCAACAGATGGCCATCCAGTCCCTGTTTAAATACCTCTAAAGAAGGAGACTCCACCACTCTCCGAGGGGCTGTGCTCCGCTATCAAACAGCTCTTACTGTCAGGAAGTTCCTCCTAATATTGAGTGGAATCTCTTTCCCTGTAGTTTGAATCCATTGTCCTGGGTCCTATTCTCTGGAACAGAAGAAAACATGCTTGCTCCATCCTCACTATGACACCCCTTC